GACATACTGTACATCTGTAGTATTAAAATTTAATGGAAGGGGAGAAGCAATTAGGGAAAAATGGCTTTTTAGGGGGATGATGTGTATAATTCAGGCGTTCCATGTATAGTCATCTGCCATATAACAACATTTCAGTCAATCAGGGATTATTTAAACAATGGCGGCCCCATGAGATTATAATATTGTATTTTTATTGTATCTTTTCTATGTTTAGACATACAAATATTTACCATTGTGTTAAGTAGCCTGTACCATCTAGGTTTGTGTAAGTACACTCTATAACGTTCACACAATGACTAAATCGTCCAACGTCTCATTTCTCAGAACGTATCCTCGTTGTTAACCAACACATCACTGTAATTTGAGTGTGTGTTTCATTTAAGTTAATGCCATCCATGTGTTGTTATTAAATAACTTACTTAAACCATCAAGTGCCAGAGATTGGAATTTGAGTAATTTGAGTCTGTGTTTCATTTAAGTTAATGCCATTTATATGTTTTTATGACAATAACTTACATAAACCATCAAGTGTCAGTGATTGGAGTAGGAATTCTCAAATCCCTTGTTTGGAACATTCAGAAAACCAGCCAAGTGAAGAAAAATAGAGTTAAAAATAGAGCTAAAAAACATATTTAGCTCCTGTCTCTCTGTATTTCAACCATATTCAATTGTCTCAATGCATTATGGCTCTTTCTACCTTGGACTGGTATTTCCAGAAATACCCTCCCCAGCTCACTTTACTTGTGTAACAGTTGTGTAACATATTTCAAGTCAAATATGCCTCCCTCAGGGAAAACCTTCTTAGCCACTTAGTCTAGATTAACTCTCAAGCACCCTTATTACACAACCTTATAGCTTCCTGTGCTGCTTCTCCTTTGTTTTTATGGTGTACAGTGTGTGATGTTTTGATACATATATTCTGTGGTAAATGATCTTATTTTCTGTATTCCATCCAGATGCTCTGGCATCTGGGGCATTGCTGACCCTGGAGATGCTGCCCCTCCCAGGGCTAGCTGATTCCTAGAGATAGCAATTGCCCCCCCTGTGAGATGCCATTTATATGCAAATCAACCAGTCCAGAACCCAAATTCACCAACTACCTCCTTTATTGAACTCTTACAAGTTGAACTAATATTCTTCTGCCCTTATCACTCCAGGACCAGATACCAGACAGCTCCTACACCTCAGAGCCCCATGAAATTATTCAAACTAGCCAATCTTAAGCATGCCTCTCCTGCTTACTCTGCCTAGACCATTTCTCCCAACAAAAACCATAATAAAGGCTCTCACCCATGCTTTTTCACCCTCACTCCTTCTGACTCCTGACCTAAGACCTTGGTGCTTCCCCATGTGGCCAGGTGGCCCTTCCCCACGTTTTCCCCCCTCCTGGGAGTGATGAGTAAAACACTGTCTTTTCAATGGCAACCATCTCCTGATCTGGTTGGCCTCACCATGCCTGAACAAAAACAAAATCAGAAGTACATTTTAAAACAGGAAGTTTCCTTAACCACCCAGAGCACAGTTGACACCAGGTATTTACCTAATGCTTTAAGGGTGACAGAAGCAACAGAAGCCAGAGTGGCCTGCACAGCTATTATAAGAAGTCACTCTTGCAGCACACGATGGGATCTAATCCTATGGGCCAAGTACAGCCCCACAAATTTCCACGTTGTGGGAAGCAGCTTAACCCCTATCCACAAGACTCTCTGCCCTCCCAACCCTTCCATGTTCTGGCCCCCAGTTATTATTATTTTTTTTCCCTTTTGAGACAGAGTCCCAGTTTTCTTTTTGAGACAGTCACCCAGGCTGGAGTGTAGTGGCACGAACATGTCTTAATACAGCCTTTACCTCCCAGGCTCAAGTGATCCTCAAGCCTCAGCCTCCAAAGTAGATGGGACTATAGGCACGCACCACCATGCTTGGTTAATTTTTGTATTTTTTGTGGAGATGGGGTCTTCCCATGTTGCCCAGGTTGTTCTTAAACTCCTGAGTTCAAGTGATCTGCCTGTCTCAGCCTCCCAAAGTGCTGGGATTACAGCCATGAGCCACCACGCCTGGCCAGTGGTCCCCAATTCTTTTGGCTGGGTGAGAGAAGGGGGCCCTCATTTTTTACTCCAGGATGGTCCATCTTGGGAATATCTTTGAGTTGTCTTTTAAGTAGAAAACACTTTATCAAACTACAGAGTGACTTTCATGGCCCTGATGAAATAGTCATAATAGCTAATGCTACATTTTCCCAGTAGTTGAGTTCCTCAATATTAAATAGCACTATGTACAGAACTCCAAAATTTTAACCTAATTCGATATTTAGGAGAAAAAAGTTAATCTATGTCATCCAGAGAACAGTCCTATTAAAGCCACAATATGTTCACAGTACTACAAAGATCATACAATAGGTTAACCAACTGCCCTGCATTTAAATTTTTTATGACTTCCTTGTTTTCTCTGCAAAAAAAAAAAAAAAAAAAAAAGGATATTTTATATTTGTTAATCTAAGGAATTCATGTCAGTAATTTTCTCAAAGTAAGTCTCCTGGGAAGTCAAAGCCTCTGTCTCCAGAATGATAAAACTGCCAGCCACTTCCAAACTGAAGTTCTCTTACTTACAAAGGAAATGAGAGTTCTGTCTCTACCAGGAATCCCTCTCAGGGGAAGGGACTTGAAGTTAACCTTGGTGATTCTGAGGAAACCACCACGAGGTTCTCTATAGTAGTTATAGAAAACCCACTGGGCTTGAGGACACCAGAAGCCCTCATCCACATGAGTGCAAACATATTGTGTGGAGAAATGAGCTCCGCTCTGCGCTTGCAGAGATGGTGGATCTGGTAACTGAGTCAATGCCTCTACACACCTGTTGCTTCTTGGGAGCGCTGTGGTGTCTGTATCTCAGTACATGTTAGATTCCTTCTATGTGTAATTACTAGCTCTCTGGGTGTTGCCACTGGGCCATTGTAGCAGGTAATGCAGAACTGAATGGAAACAAGTACAAGAGGGGCATGCCAGCGTGCCAGAGGAGCAGCTGGGAAAGGACTCATGCCTCATGCCAGAGGAGGAACTGGAAAAGAACTTGGAAGGGTGATGTTCCAGACTTGGGGTTGATAGAGACTGTTTCACTGAGGTTCTAATTATTATATTATTATTCACTACCTCATCTTTCTGAACCTCAATGATCATACTAGTAGTAATATAAGCCCGAATTAATTTTTTAATAGGCAGAGCTAACTCCGCCCCTACTACTAGGAAGATCTTTTTGTTAAGTTAACAAAGAGGACGCCAGCCAGCCTGGAATGTCTACCCAGGGAAACTCTATTGAGCTGTATCTGCTTTCAGCAAATGGTTGCACCTAGAAAGGAATTATTACATTTATTAAACTAATACTCAGAGAGCAGTAGACATGAATCCAACACACACAAGTAATGTAAATTGAATACCTCACTTTAAGCCTATAAGTTCATGTACAGGTCACTATAATTGCCATTTATAATCCAAGGGCAATACTTATACACTTTTGATGATTCCTTGGGAATTATCTGTAAAAGCTCTAGATTTTTAATTTTTGGCTATTTGGTGTACAAAGATTTTAGGTACTAATTTAAAATCTTAGTAACTATTAGGTAACAAGACCTTGAATTTTTAAATTGTATACTCAGATTCAAGTATGAATTTGGATTTGTGTGATCTAAAATGCAAGTATATTCCTTTGAAAACTGCATAATTGTGAGAAAAGTGCAGACCAAACCCATATTGAGGGACATTTAGCAAAATAACTGGCTTATACTCTCTAAAACTGTCTAGGTCAAAGCTTCCTCAGGTATGGTTCCAAATTAAAGGAGGCTAAGGGGACAGGACAACAAAAGGTCATGCATGGTTCTCAATTGGCTCCTTGGACAATTGATGAAATCTAGATATCGCTAGACTTAAAAATAGTATTTTCTCAATATTAATTTTCTAATTTTAATTAATTCTAATTAAAATAAATTTTAATTAAAATTAATTATATATGTGTGTATATATACGTATATTATATATAATATATGTGTGTATATATACACACATATATTTTTGTATATACACACATATATATGGATACAGAGAGAGAAAGAGAATGATAAAGGAAATATGGTAAAACAGGAATATCTGGGTAATTTGGGTGCACCTGAAATTTTTTGTATTGTTTGCAACTTTTCTAAAAATCTGAAACAATTTTTGAAACTCACTCACCAACAAGTCTCCTGCTGTTCTAAATAGTCACGAAACAGCATATCCGCACACCTGGCAGCAGCCTGCTCTCTGCCTCCCTGATTTATTCACAAAGCATTAAAAAGTCCTTTCCCCATTTTCCTGCTAGTACTGTAGGCCAAGTTCATTACTGGCCTCCCTGACACATAATATTTTTTCCTTTCTCTGTCATCCATAGAACTGAAAACTCCCTGTTGTTTCGAAGATAATCTCTATCAGACAAAGCATTAGTGCCTTTCTGTTTAAGGTTGTTGGTCTACAGGGGGCAGAATTCCAAAAAGATTTGGGCTTTGTTGTTCCACTAACATCCCCCACACACATAAATCCAACTGTATGAGGAAAAAATTTGTTCCCAGATAAGAAGAAAAACTCATTTTTAAATCATGACAAATAATAAAAGAAGAAATAGAAAAAAAGAAAAGAAAAGAAAAGAAGCAGCCTGAACTACCATCCATCTGGCTCCAGGAACACAGGGCTTTGAATCTGAGGAAATCTAAATGAGGGCTCAGAGCCTCTCCCTGGGCTCATAAAATTTCCAAACATTAGCAGGAACATTCCAGGTGGCCCCCTGCCCACATCAGAATAAACGTGGTATCCTCTGTTCTTGTTTTCTCCATCCTTGTATGTCCTCCCCATTTTGACTATTCTTACAGAAAGTTTTCCCTGGGATATAATGAAATGGCCCATACAAAAATGTACACTTGTCACTTAAAGATGAAAGTATAAAATGAAGTAAAATAAAAACCAATGGAATCCTCTTACCTTCAAATAGCAGTTGTTGTGTGAAACGGATTCCGCGTCTATACCAGGTCCCTAAGGGTTTGAGCCTACCTCAATGCATGCAGAATATATAGGGAGAGGTTATAGATCTGGGTTTTTCATTACACAAGGTGTTTTTGATGAGTCCTCAGCGAAGATCCACTTAAAAACAAAAGCTACAGAAAGACTACAAAAAGGCCACACAAAGTTTAAACAAAAGGCTAAAGAAAGAGCAAACAAAAGCCAAAGAAAGTTTAAACAAAGAGTGAAACAAAGACAAAACAAAGGGCAAACAAAGACAAAAACAAAGAGCAAAAGAAAATCTAAACAAAAGCTAAGCTAAACTACAACCATATCACACACACACACGCACACACCCCACATTCACTGTACAGCCCCCCCAGCATTCATGTATTCCAGCCTCCCACCTCCCACATCCCACATAATCAACATCCCATGTGAAAACTCACCCCTCAAAGTTCATTCCACACAAACTCCAGTTAAGTTCCATGCCAGGTCCAACCACACCACACACCAGCTCACCCCACCAAACCACATACCCTTCCACCAACATGCTACACCACCACATGTTGCAATCACATTGACAAATTCCAGGAGTTTTTATACTCCATGTAGATTAAATAATCATCTCCACTTCCTTCCCTAAAACACTCATGTATACCCACAGATACACCCCAAAACTAACATTCACACACGCATGCCCTTGTACACTTGATTTAGCAAGAGTCTAATGCAGCCCAGTTACAACTAACATTGAATTTGGGAGTTTCCATGACAATTACCCTATGCATTCACATTTATAAAAACATGTATAAATCATCTCTTATGTTGAATAGTTTCTGCAAATGATGAATCTCATTAAATTAACAGTATATTGGCTTCAGTCTTAGACACCGGCATTTCCTTATAATGTTCCTAAAATGTGGAGCCACACCTTTCTGTGCTCTGTTAAATCCCAGCAGTCCTGTAATTCTGCTTCTGCTATTTATTTTATATATGTAGAACTACCCACTAATAATTTGAAAGATGAAAGCTTACTTCTGAAACCAATCCAACCAACAGCAGCCTTGCCTTTTGGATTCCCAGAGCCCCCTGCATGACAGTGTAATATAAATGTCAACATTACCACCAAGTTTCTCTTTAGGCTCTTGTCTCAGTAAAGAATCAGCCAGGGAATCTTGAAGAGGTAATCCAGTGAGACTACAAACATTGACCATAAATCTCTCTGTACACTAACATTTTTGTTTTTGTTTTTGTTTTGAGATGGAATCTGGTTCTGTCCCCCAGGCTGGAGTGCAGTGGCACTATCTCAGCTCACTGCAACCTCCACCTCCTGGGTTCAAGCTATTCTCCTGCCTCAGCCTCCTGAGCAGCTGGGACTACAGATGCCCACAACCATGCCTGACTAATTTTTGTATTTTTAGTAGAGACAGGGTTTTGCCATGTTGCCCAGGCTGGTCTCAAACTCCTGACCTCAGGTAATTAGCCTGCCTTAGCCTCCCAAAGTGTTGTGATTACAGGCTTGAGCCACCGCGCCCGGCCTCTTCATACACTGACTTTATAGTTAGTTAAACATTCTTTCTCTGAGTAAATGAGTTACAGACGTATGCTGATTGATTCATTCCCACTGTGATGCCAGTATTTTGCTTGTGTTGTATTGACTGTGACTGGGGGCTGGGGAGTAGGGTAGGATGGTTTAGAGTTTGAAATCTGGAGGCCCTGACACTGGGATCATCACAGGACCCACCTCAAGGATTTGAGTGAGGACTAAATCAGTTGATATGTTTGCACTGGTGGAAAGAATGCCTGGCACACAGAGTCCTGCACCAATGCAACTCTTACGGCCCTGGCCCTAAAGAAGGTTACCAACAGAGGCGGGTGGCAGTTGTAAGGATTTGTTTTCTATTCACAAAATAACAAGACTAATTCAGGCTATTTAAAAAATACAAGATCCAGTAGATATATTACAAAACTCTATCTTTATTAAAGACCCTCTGCTTCTCAAATCTTTCCAACAAAAGTTCTTAATGACACATTTTGGGGAAGTCCCATCTTTGATCTTCTACTCCACCATATACAGGGTGATATATAATTTATGCAACCCAACTATGGAGATTTCACAAAATGCTCGTAATGCCATCTCTTTCTATTTCTACTTAAATGTTAGCGCTTGCCCTTAGTGCGGTGGCACTCTCACTCCCAGAACCACTGGGGAGGCCATGTCTGAGTCAGTGTCACTCTTCTTGAATGGCAGCCTGTGTTCCACATAGAGCAAGACCTTCCAGGACTCACAGTCACAATTAAGAAACTTGCTAACACTGCAGAGGATTTTCCCACAGAAACTTTGGCTACAGTTGACAATCCCCACATGTTATGAATTAAAATGTGTCCCATCCCCCATCTCTCAAATTCCTTTGTTGGAGTCCTAACCCCTAGTGTCTTAGAATTTGGAATGAGGCCGGGTACAGTGGCTTGCGCCTGTAAGCCCAGCACTTTGGCCAGGAATTTGAGACCAGCCTTGCCAACAGGGCAAAATTCTTTCTCTACTAAAAATACAAAGAAATTAGCCGGGTGTGGTGTCATGTGCCTAATATTACAGAGGATTTTAATTCCCAGCTACTCAGGAGGCTGCGAATTGAGAATCACTTGAACCTGGGAGGCAGAGGTTGCTGTGAGACAAGATTGCACCACTACACTCCAGCCTGGGTGACAGAGCAAGACTCTGTCTCCAAAAAAAAAAAAATTTGGATTCAAATAAGGATTTGAAGACAGACCACAGAGGTGATCAAGTTATGAAGTCGTTAGGGTGGGCTCTGATGCAACATGACTAGTGTCCTTACATGAAGAAGTTTGAACAGAAAGACACATTTGGAGGGAGGACAGTGTGAAGTCATGGGGAGAAGATGGTCATCTACAAGCCAAGGAGGGAGGCCTGGAACAGATCCTTCATTCATAGTCCTCGGAAGAAACCAGTACTGCCCACACCTTGACCTCAAACTTCAAGTTTTGAGAACTGTGAGACAATTCATTTCTGTTGTGTACGTCACCCAGTTGGTGGTACTTTATTTCAGCAGCCCTAGCAAACTAATACGCCACAGTGACAATAAGTACTATTTTAATTGGTTTCTACATTTATCAAAATAGCACTTGTGCAAAGTTATAATAATATTAAAAGGCTTATGTTGGAAAACAATAGTCCCTTGTGCTGCCTCACCCCACTCAAAATCCCAGCCACCAGAGGCAACCATTTAAAACTTTTTTTTAGCTATCTTTTCTCTATTTATTTCCATATACTAAGTAATTCACACAAATAGCCATTTATATACCTATTTATGGTAGGTTATTGGCTTCCTTTTAAGGGTGTAGTTTTCTTACATTCTACTTTTTCCTCTCCCTTTTCCCTTACCTACTGAATGTAGTTAGTTAATATTTATATTATTATAAATATGTAAATATTCCCTCCTACAGAACCTTGTGATTAACTACGATTGTTTCCTTTCTTTGTACAAATTTCTTGTTCCTGGAATTAATAATCACCCCATTTTTAATTTTATTCATTTATTTTAATCTGCTTAGTTTTGAATTTTACACTTCATCATTTTTTCCAAATATTCCAACAGATCTGTCAACTATCTGCTAATAAATTCTAAGCATTCCAATATACTGAATGATCTTTCACATCTATTGTCTTCTGTAATCCTCTGTCATCTCGTTCAGATTTCAGGCTGGTTGCTCTCTAGACCCGACGCAGGCCTGGGTCTTCCCTTCATTGCTTTGCTGGAAAGAGATCACCTTGTCCAGGATCCCATGCCATCCCCACCTTTCCGAAGCATGCCTTACAATACCTTTCCTAGAAAGAGTATATATTAAGTGAATTTTTTCAAGTGTTTGTGTCCCTGAAAACTCCTTTACTCTGCCCTCATACTTGATTGCCTGTTTGTGTATAGAATTCTAAGTTGAAAAGTATTTTCCCTTAGAAAAATGATGTGGATGATACATTGTTTTTTGGTATCTTCCCCTCCAGTGTTGTTTTTGAGAAGTTCTAGACCTTTCAGATGCCCGTTGCTTTTTCTGTGATTTTCTTCTAAGCCTCTGGAAATGTTCAAGATCTCATTTTGACCCCAGTTGTCCTGAAATTTCATCCTTCAATGTGAATGTTTTTTCGTCCCCACTTGGTGGAGCATTTTCATCTGGAAATTCATAAAATTCCACTCCAAAAATTCTTCCTTTTTGTTGTTGGTTTTGTTAATTTATTTTTCTCCATTCTCTTTCTTGTTTCTTGAATTTCTGTTATTTGGCTTTTGAACTATCTAAATTGATCTTCTAAATTGTTACTCATTCTTCTCTTTCCTAGTTTCCAATTCTTTGACTTCTTGTTTTATCTCTCATGAAGTTTTCTTATTTTATTTATTATAACCATCTTTTTGAATTTGATACTTCATTTTGACAATTACATTTTTAAATTTCAAGACTTCATTCTTATTTGCTGACTTTTCTTTTTTCAAAGCACATAGCATTTTCTGTAAACTAGGAAACTAGCAAAACAGTAACTACCACACTGGGCGATGTTGCTTGGTTTTGGTTTTCTTTGTGTCTTTGTTAGTTTTGCTCCTTGCATTGAATCGGTTTGCTTACTCCACGTTTCTTCATCCTGGTTATTTGTTTCCATCTCTCCCCTTCTAACCAAAAGTTGTCCTCTTTATCTGGTGATCTTTCACTGTCCATTACTGCTTAATAGTCAGCCATTCAAGAGAAGACTGGAGGCTCCAGGTACAAGGATGGGTTCGATGCTGGGGAATGCTGCAGGCACCCATGTTGGCCTTTACAACAAGGAACCTAGAAATATAAGTAGCTGGAGGATTTTTCCATAGAGTCATTCAGTTTCTTCAATGAAAAGCCATCTATTTTACAGCCTGACAGGGGCAGGGAAGATACAGAAGTTTGAACACCATGCTATTGATATTCTGCTCAAAGTAGACAAGGGACCTGAGGGACCCACATGAGTGTTCCTCACTGTTCCCGAATCAGGAAATTTCTCCATAATAAACTTCCAGTGACCACAGCAAGTTAGTGCAATGACTCTCAGAATCCATTCTGTGTGTGCGACTTGTCTATGCCTGATCCTTGCTTTC